TTATATATATATAAATATATATATATATATGTAGATCATAATATTATAATAAACCCTAAACCCTAAGTAATAATAATTATAAACTCTAAATAATAATAATTATAAACCCTAAATAAGCTCTTTGTTAACAGTTTATTCATTTATGCAAGAATATCAAAAAGCAGCAAGCAAACTGCTTCCCGGAGGGTTTAGGGTTTAGGGTTTAGGGTTTAGGGTTTAGGGTTTAGGGTTTAGGGCTTAGGACTGGGGGCTCAGGGTCTAGAGTTAAAGGTGTGCTAGGGTTTAGGGTTTAGGGTTTAGGGTTTTAGGGTTAGGGTTTCGTTGGTGCAGAGGGTTGCTGCTATTGTTGTTGTGTGTGTGTATGCATGCATTATTTCTTTTAAAGCTAGACCCTCTCTATCTTCCTGCTGCTTCTTCAGCAGCAGCAGCAGCAGCAGGGAGTACACCAGCAGCAGCAGGACAAGGTGGCGGTGCAGCAACAGCAGCAGCAGCAGCAGCAGCAGCAGCAGGAGGCTCGTGGTTTTCAAGCTTATACCCTACATTATTTATGTTAAATATGGTTGGGGTGTACACCTCATTGCTGCTGCTGCTAATTTTAATTGCTTCAGACCCTGGGGTGCTTCCGAAGCGTCTAAAGGGAGAGTCGGCTGTAGAACAACTCATGCAAGTACGCCAGGCTTTATTAGGGTTTATGAGGGTTTATGAGGGTTTATTAGGGTTTATTAGGGTTTATTGTTAGGGTTTAGGAGGGTTTAGGAGGGTTTACGAGGGTGTATGAGGGTTTGTTAGGGTTTGTTAGGGTTTATTAGGGTTTGATAGGGTTTACGAGGGTGTATGAGGGTTTATTAGGGTTTTTTAGGGTTTAGGGGTCTATGGTTAAGGGTTTAGGTTTCTTTAGGGCTTAGGGTTTAGGGTTTAGGGTTTAGGGTTTAGGGTTTAGGGTTTAGGGTTTTGCTTGTGTGGAATTGGGTATTAGGCAGATAAATTTGTTTTTTATTTATTTTAATTATTTAGGCCTTGAAGCAAAAGGCAGACACCCCGTTGTTTTTATTTTGTTTATTTATTTCTGTTGTTCTGCTGCTGCTGTGCTGCTGCTGCTGTACTGCTGCTGCTGTACTACTGCTGCTGTTGTACTGCTGCTGTTGCTGCTGTATTACTGCTGCTGTTGCTGCTGTATTACTGCTGCTGTAATGCTGCTGCTGCTGTACTGCTGTTGTTGTTTTTGCTGCTGCTGCTGCTGTTGCTGCTGCTGCAGCTGCTGGCAGGTGAGGATACACCTGAAGAAGCAGTTGAGGCTGTTGATATGCAGCGCCTTTGTTATACCTGTTGGTTGTATAAACCGCTGCGCACGAAACACTGCAGGTAAATATAATAATATAATAATTATTATATTATTTATTATTTATCTTGTTTTATTTTGTTATACTATTATTATTATTATATAATTTATCTTTAATATTGTATTATATTATATACGGTA